GACTTGAGTGCCGAACGGGAGAATGAACCGGTAGATGGGTAGGCAGAGAAGAGCGATCCGATAGTGTTGTTGACTCCGATAGCGATCAATTCCTGGTTGGGGTTGATCTTGTACCCGTTCAATCGACCGAAAGACTTTGCGATGGAAATGTGCTCGAGCAGTAGAATGATTGTAGCAACAGGGATATGAGGACCGATGGCAGCGAGTAACTCGGAAGTAACCTTTGGCTGACCGACGTCGCGAAGTCCGGACGGCACAGTACCAACGAGGGCGATGCGGGGCTTTTTGATGTGGTGGATGTTGATGCGCCATGAAATAATGGTGAAGAGGATGATGACGAATGCGTGTCGCAGAGCCTGAAGAAAGAATGCAGGTCGCTCCCATTTGGGGTATCGCTTGGGCAGCCATTGAAAGAACCACTTGATACCGTACAACATTGCCAATGCACAGATTCCAAAGGCGGCATCAAGGCTGCTCATGTCAGTTTCGCTAAAATCACAAAGCTGTAAACAACTCACGTGCAATGAGGAAGATTCTTGAGTGAGTTGATGATGACTTTGTACGTGGCGGCACGAGTGTCGAATCGCTTAGCCAGGCCAAGTAGGGCTGGAACTTGTCCGGCGGCAATGTTCAAAGCACTCCCGGTCATGAATCCGGATACTGCTGGTTGTGGGACTAGAAGCTCGATCAGCTTACCTCATTTGGATGATGGTGATCGACTCACTGAACTCGACTAGGAAACCAATTCGTAAGAGTCCGATACCAAGGACGATGAACCCGCAGATGAATGCAAGGCAAGTGGCGATCTCAGGAGCGGTGTACAGATCACCGTACTTGGCAATGACGCTGTTGACGATGTTGCCAGTCTCTAGCGACATCACTGCGACGGGTCCGATGGAAACATCTTTCGAGGTGGCGAAGAACGCATAGGTGAGAACACCGATGAAGGATGAGTAGAGACCGTATTGAGCGGGTAGTTCGGCGATTTTGGCATATGACAAAGACTGAGGGACCAGCACCATTCCAACGGTGATACCGCTTTGCAGTGTCAGCGAGGTTAAGAATCTGGTTGAAGAGTTGCTCACGCGATCAAGTCACCGACCAACCAGGTGAGGTTGTATCGAGGAGCCCATTGAATGAAAGGGAAGAGTGCTTTCAGATAATCTCGAGCCTGCAAAAAAATTTAGTCAGCCAGATTCAAGCGTTTCGTTCCATGTAGACGTACGAAAGGGCCGACTTCTCTTGCTCGATCGCCCACCCAGTCTTTCGCTGACACACTCTGTGGAGTCGATTCATCGACACCGAGATAATTTTGCACACGCCGCTTGACGCTGCTATAGTTGACCATCTTTGACAAGTTGCTCTGTTCCGCAATCTAGAAAGGCGGATACTTTGTAGTCTTAGCAACAAGGATGGAAAGAGAAGAAGCGGATCAGTTGATGAAGCTTTAGTACTAAACAGTAGATGAGAATGGATCGAGTCACGAGAAGAAGAAGAAAACGAAAGCACAAAGTATGGCGAGCTAGGAGCCCGCCCGTCTTACTCGGATGACGGATCAATTTTCGTCATAGTACCATTCCCTTGTATTTGAGTTTTCTCCAACCGTTACAATTGACTCTTGGGAAAGGCTGCATTGGGCCTTGACGCTTCGCAAAAGGTGCCATTGCGGTGATTGACCAGTATGTTAAACAACTAGATTTATTCCAGATTCCAGCTTGTCTCGCGATTGATTTTTCAGAAAAACGCGCGCAAACGAGCAATGTCGCCAAAGCACGCAATATTTCGCAAACCCTCCACCTACCTCATGACGCAGGGTTTTCGCTCTCTCACGTGTTTTTCTTCTCTTTCCCTCTGGTAAGCGATCGTCCAATTCGCCTTCGATGTACCCTGTCCCCCCTCCTACTTTCCCTCCTCCCTCCTCTCCGTCTTGCCTTCTCTATAGTCTCCGAAGGTAGGGGATATCTCACTTTCCCCAGATGGGTGCCTGCCGATCGATAGTGATGGTGCCTGTCAGTAGAAAATCCAAAATAATATCAAATGTCGAGGTACAGGAGATTAAGGTCCCGATAAGAAGGATTTGGGAATTAACCATGAGGTCATTTGGGAATGACCATGAGATCATTCGTGAGCGGCACTGGTAATCTGTTAGTCGTGTTAATTGCTCTGGATGGCGCAAGATGAGATGAGAGACAAGGTTTCTTGCGTCTACTTGTATTCGGACAGGAGACTTGTACCCTCATACAAAGGACCTGTTGGTGTGATCACGTGCTTGAGCGAGTAACGCTTGCAGCAGTCGCTAGAGGGACCAAAAGCGCTCTGATCGTAAAGCATGCATTCAAACTGTTGTCTCTAGTCGGGACAATGCAACCAAGTGGGTACGTTTAGAGAGCGAGAATGACCCTTAGAGATTCTACAACTCTGCCTTGCGAGGCATTAAAGGCATCATAATCTTCTTGACGACCTTTCCTCCTCCAACAGGATCCTTGTCCACCTTTTTCGCCTTTTTCGCAGGTTTGTTCGCGACCTTGACACGAGCCTCAAAGCTTCCCCACGAACCATACACCTCTGCCCATACCTTCTTGACTCCAGTGCCAACATTCGCATGTTCTACTCCACTCTCATCTAACCATACCGCGTTGCGTTCCTGACCGCTCGCTGAGATGGGCGGCGGCGTAGTAGTGGTAATCACAAGATGCTGGATGTGGTATGTCATGTTGATGTGAGAGAAGATATGTGGGATACTGCCGATATACCGCGGTGTGATGTCTTTCCGAAGATCGGTTGAGGAAACATCAAGCAGATCAGATAGAGTAGCGAGAGAGGCGTCGAGTCGTTCTTCTGCTGATACTGATGCTGCGACTGGAGTGGTGGGTGGCTCAAATAGCCCAGCGAGAAGGCCTGAGGAATTAGCTAGCTAGTTGTATGACTGATCTCACTCACCTTTCTCAGGCCGTTTGGTCAGCAACCATCTCCTACCTTGTTCCCCTCTCCATTCGACCACTCCAACAACCTCTTCTTCCACCCTCGACGCCTTCTTCTCCTTGCGCATAGGAAAGACCGTCACACTAGGAATGACACTACCCGCCATGGTCGACGGTATCGGCGTACATATATCACAAACCTCTGAAGAGCTCGATGGAGGTTCCGTTGCTCGAGATAGCTACCATGTCAGAAAGCTTGCATGGCAACTTTGTCTCACCTCCATATAAGCCTTGCAGCCTTTTTGCAATGGGCAAGCATCACAATCCGGATTAACAGGCTTGCAGACCTGGCTCCCTAGCTCCATGAGAGCCTTTCATCAGCCGAGTTTAAGTGCGGCTAAGCATACCTGATTCCAGTCTCCTGCTATGCCTTGTCCCTGTGGTAAACGATGCACGAGCTGCTCGGCGACCTGCCACAGGACCTTGATCGTTCCAGGCGCTGTTTGAGGTGCATGTATCGCTAATAATCGCGTCAAGAGTCGATGTATGTTCCCGTCAACCTAGGGATAATCAGAGAAGGTCTTGCATGTACATGTACTCACAATTGGGGTTGAGATGCCATAGGCCATTGAACAGATTGCGCCTTGTTTGTCTTAGCTGTGCGAATACCTGAAGTGCATACCTGCAGTATATCGCCCGATACCATCGATTTCCTTCTCGAGAATCGCAGGATCTTCCGGTAATCGTCCTAAACCGTCAGCTTGGCAGATTTGAGATGATATAAGCACAACTGAGAAAGATGAGACCTACCGTTATATTTCGCATTACCCATAACAGTCTTTGCACCAGCAAGCAAAGATCGAGCACGACGATAATATCCCAATCCACCTGGTGGATGATCAGACTCCAGCTCACGTCCATCGAAGGTACTTACGCCAAGCAGAATTGACTTGCTATATGAATCAGACATTCACTCAGTATGAAGACTGGACAACTTACTTCGATATCAGCTTTGGCAAGGTCAGCTATTGTAGGCCATTTGTCGATCCATCTCGTCCAATATGCAATAACCTACCATGTCAGCACTTCCAAGGCGTCCAATAACGACAAGGATAGGAATCAGGACAAGGACAAGGTAAAGGAGAACGGAAGACATACTGTCGCTACCTGTGTTTGCTGGAGCATTACCTCGCTGACTGAATATATCAGTTCAGTCCCCTCTCTACCAAGGAATAAATCGACTTACCCCAGATCTAAGTCATCAGCACACCACACCTCTACATTACTCACCTCATACGCTCTTTGACCCTTCTCTTCCATACTTAAAGTAGGATCATATCGCTTCCTCCATGGCATACCCCGTTTCCCTCTGAATCGATTCAGCGCTCAGACCTATTCACCTGCAAATATCACTCACCGTACATCTTCAAACCAGCTCAACAAATCTCCTTGAATCCCCTCAATATCCTCAAGACCATGATACGACTTCGTATGTGGTCGAGCGACACACGCCGCCCCATCCTCAAGATCAGGTAGAGCTCCGTTCTGCTTCACGGATCGCTTAGGTTTCGAGACGACGACTCGCCGTCGCTTGGACGTAGACCGCGGGGCCGAATCGTACTCGCTCCCTTCAGAGTCCGAGATCGTATATGCAGATTCGGGGCTACCTTGTCGTGGCATCGATAGATAGTCGACAAATCAAAATGACAACAAGTCAAACGCGTCTACGTTCATAACGCGTCTCGACCAACTTTCCAAAATGTCTTTTTGCCCCTTTCTGAGCACTCTTTGCCTTGGTTCCAGGCCACCAGACCAAATCCGCGACGAATCGCACTTGTGGTAGCTGCTGGCGACTGTTGAACAACGGATATGCATAAAACATCACAAGTACACTATCGACCACCCGAGAAAATCACGCTCGCGCGCCCGTCAATCTGTCCATCTTCAGACATCATTTCGGCATGTAATACGCATGATACGGCCTCACTAATGGTACCCGGACGTCGCTACGACCCGGGGCTGTCGATCCATCCAAAAGGTAATATACTTAAGCAAAAAGAGCCCCAAAACGGCAAAAACAGGTCCCTGCCGGAATCGAACCGGCCTTTCGAGAAAGTTCAAACGCAATAAATGTGTTACGTAATCAGAATCTCACGTACTAACCGATATACGAAGGGACCATCGTACTTATTTAGGAAATCACCTCCTGATTATACTCGGCGTTTCAGTGCACATATGGGCACACCACTTTCCGATGCATCTATTCTTGCATATTAGGTCAAGCCAAATATGCTATAAAACACCCTTGGGCTTTGCGTGAGGGCGGCTCGATAAACTGTTGTTGAAGACGAAACGAGACCGCTTAAGACGGAAGGAGCGTTCAAACTCCCCGGGGATAGGAGTATCCGGCAGAACGGCCTCCTGCAGGCCCGGTCCAACCGGGAACCTTGCGTAGGTGCAGACCATGCCGGCTTTATTACCTTGTCGCACCTTATGTACCTTATGTCCTTATGTACGCGATGTCCGACGGGATCGAGGTGAAGTTCACTCGGTATCCGACCTCCACCTCCACTTATTGTCCCGCGCGATACCACCGAGAGTGGGACTTAAGAATAGCACGTCATCTATCCGGTCCGGTCTATCTGTCCCATTGGACATTCTATGCCATTTCTCCTACCTACGCGTCTCCTATCTACACGATCCCTCCACAACGCTCGACAGCTACAACGATCATTTAGTATGGTTCGCGCTATCAAATTGAACGATGGCAAACAGATCCCTGCTCTTGCTTGGGGCAATGGGACTGGCGGGATTCAACGAAGTGGACAGAAAGCCACCGAGTTGGGTGCAGTAGCTCTCAAAGCTGGAATTTTGCATATCGATACTGCCCAGGTAGGCTCAAGACGAAGATAATATGATTCGGCTTTAGTTGACTGTCGTAGATCTACGGAACTGAAGAAGAGACGGGACATTCTATCAAAGCTTCTGGTATCAACCGATCTGATGTGTGGGTAACCACCAAGAGTGAGTACCTTCGATGCCCTGTCATATTGTAGCTGATACACTCATAGTCGGCAGAGCAGACGGTCAGTCGCCTCAAATACTGCATTATCTCAGTCCGAAGTCTAACATTTCGCAGGATCTTCCCCCGAAGACGTGCGAAAGTCTGTCCAAGGCTCGCTCGACAAGCTCGGATTCATCCCCGACTTGATCCTGATCCACAACCCGTTCGTCCCTGGCCCATCCAAGATCGGCGAGTTCTGGACGAGCCTTGAGGCTCTGGTAGAGGACGGGACACTCAAGGGATGTTCCCTTGGAATTAGTGAGAGCTTGCGATAGGCCCCAGTGAATTACAGCTGACGATGTTAGGTAACTTCCGACCACAAGATATCGAGGCTGTCATGAAGGTCGCCAAAATCAAGCCCGTCGTAAACCGTCAGTCTAAATCAAGATGGTCTGGGTGTTGTACTGAAGCAGACTAAGAAATTGAATATCACCCATACGTCCTCAGTCATATCGAGCCTGTCCTGAAGGCTCAAGAGAAATACGGTATCGTCACTCAATCTTTTGGACCCTTGACTGTGAGTAGATTGTCCTTCTGATTCACAGCTTATCCGTCACAGCCCACATTGCGCCACCCAACAGGAGGACCCATCAAGCCGATCCTCACTCGTATTGCCAAGAAGCTTTCCGCCAGCTCTGGTCAGCCAGTTGACGAGTCATCTGTCCTCCTTCTATGGACCATGAACAAGGGTGTAGTGGCAGTGACCACCAGCGGCAATCCCGACAATATCAAGAAGCTGGCAGGACTTGCAAATCTTCCTGACTTGTGTACGTTCCCAATGCGGTGTGGGAGAAGGAATTATGAGCTGATAGGCGTAGCGAGTGAGGAGATCAAGGAGATCGAAGAAGCCGGGAAGAAGGTTCATTACAGGTACTATGTGAGTCGAAGTACTTGAGATTTCAAGTAGAACGCTGAGCGTGTCAGGGCCATATGAACCAGGACTTCCCTTCGCCGGATCTGCCGGGCGATTTGGGAGACTCGAGCGTCAAGAGCCCTGAGTGATTCTCGTTCAACTGAGCTTCAGGTGGAAGGGTGTTTGAGCTGGTAGGGGATAGTGGTCAGGACTGGATGGTCAAGACTGGGATGGTCAAGGCTGGGATGGTCTCGTCTAGAATGGTTAAGACTGGGATATTCCAGGTAGAAGTGTGATCAAAATTGCTGCGGAATTCTCTATATAACAGTTTGGCAGCGGGCTGTTATGGTAATCTTAGCTCTCAGATGGATCCAGTGCTATTATAACTTGCGAAATATCGGAATACTGCACATTAACAGCAGTGCGTCTTCGCAATTGACAAAATGCCTCCTGCCAGAACGCCCACCACGGGCAAGAAATCCAACGAGGTCGACCACGTTGTCGACGCAGGCGGTTTTGGCGAGAACACGGTGAGTATGATCACTTTAGGGATCAGACTAGACGCTCATAGTCCATGCTGGCCACAGCCACCGGCTGCCAAGAAGGGGGGCCGCCCAAAAAAGGGCGTCATGACCGACGCTCCCCCCCTGTCGCCCATGTCCAAGAAGAAGGGCATAGGGGGGAAAGTGGCCGGCCAAGACAATCGGAGCCAAGGTGAGTCCTTTCGTCGATGTGGTTAACAACAGGTGCCGCCCATCACGCAGTCAGCCATAAACAAGCTGTTGGCTGGCGTCCCCCATGGTATTCCTGCTTCGTCGGCAGCGTCCATCCTGGCAGGAATCGCACATAGTCGCGAGTCCGGAAGAACGACGTCGAGGCCCGATGTGTCTCCGTTGAGATCTGCCGAGTCCTCATAGAGGTCGCGGGGTTACCGCCTGGGCGCATGTCCGCGACGCTGCAACAGCAGTTCGAGTGTGGTCACAACTCCGTCAACGTTGATCACTTTTCTTCCATTTAATCTGCTCGACCGCCCACAGTTCAAGGACAACGTCAAAGAGTTTGGTCCTTATCTTCAAGGATCTGCTGTTCATCTGGTACTTGGTCATTGCTGACGAAGCAATAGGTGGACCACCAGGACGCGCTGCTTGACAACATCCTCCCGGCGACCTCGTTGATCAACTCCCGCGGGCTCGGTGTGTTGCAAGTCGCCGAGAGAGAAGAGGGAGAGGTGGTAGAGGCAGCGAATGATCGTCGAATAATAAGCATCAGCGACTCGGATGATGATTACGTGGAAGAGGAAGAGGAGGTAGAAGAAGTGGTAGATAGTCCTCCCAGAAAAGGCTGAAAAACAGGGTCAGCACGCTGTGACTTTGAGTTGTATGTAGGCAAACTTCTGCAAACGTTCTTGGAAGATGCATCGGGTCGACCATAGAATATTTTAGTCACTCGCCGTTTGCTTGGACTGCATCTTATTTGCAGCAGATCAGCTCAGCTCATCTAGTCACCTCGAAAGGATCGTATGTGTGGATCATCTGACATATCTCTGGTTCACCAGGCTCCACAAGCAATGTATCATCTAGCTCATCAGGCCCCAAAAGAACGTATCTCTAGCTCATCAGGCTCCAAAAGCACGTATCGACCGCGGTTGAAGGACCTAAAATAACCATCTGACTCCAAAAGCACATATTTCTGGCTCATCAAGCTCCACGAGCACGTATCTGCCCTGTGAGCACGCTTCATTATATCATCTCCGGGAGTAGGAAACCCTGGAAAGATCATCGAAGCTACAACCCCCGGTTATACAACGAAGCGTGTCCCTGAAAGATCTATTCGGGACATTTACCAAAGCAACCAAGTGGATTCTCCAATATCCACTTGGTAGATCCCTGTCTTTGCTTCGTTTCCATGACCGGACCGGCGCACCGAAAAATGGGCCTTTCAAATGGCATGAAACCTATTTTATTCCACCACTTGTGCTAACTCCACATCGTCGAGACGGTTGGAGAAATAGAGAAAAACAAAGATCCCATCTTATCATTCTAGGTTTTCCCGCCTAAAAAAAAACATAGTCACTTATAACCGGAGAACCGGACGATGGTTCCGCCGGGGGATTCTACTCCAATGACTTCTCGCTTGGTCAGTAATATCAAGTAGTAAGGACAAAGTCGAGAGGAGAGCCCGCGTGATATAAAAAAGTGACGGTGAACCGGCGGCCTAAACAGCGGAATTGGGAACTCGTGATGTATGGTAGCATAAGCTTATATGTAGAACAACGACGCTAAGATCGACTAGTTACACCCCCCTGCGTTATCCGTCTTTAACCTTGAAAGAAAAGTGGTGTTTGGTAAATCCGAAAACAGCCGCACGGAGAAACAGAGGCCCCCTCATCGGACCGAGCGGGGCATTTCCCTAAAACCCTGACGTGCCTCGCCCCCTAAGCACCGGCCCGACCTTTACCGAAACGCCGGAGAATCGAGAAGTAATGGAAAGCTTCTACCGGAGCGAGCGCCACCGTACACCGAATTCTACCGAAGCTTGTCCCAAAAACCTCTTTGGACCGCTACCGCTCCAATCCTTTCTTCCTCCTCTCCCTCTTCCATTCTTGTTCAAACACAACCACATCCGCTCCATATAGTCCACCTCAATACCAAGTGCTCACATCATACACATCGCTTCTTAACAGCCGTCAGTAGCCGTACCGCCCACTTATTTAATCTACCCCGCTTGTCCGATCCGCGGGATTCCCACCCTCTTAAAGCAGCTGTCGTACTACTGGGTACGTCACTCGGTGCGATAGTGACCGGTCACCTTCTGTCGGCGGCGACATCAGCTTTCCTCTACTTGTCCCAACTTCCCTTCCTCTCTCTACTCTACCGTCACACTATACCACACGATGGCGACCATGGAAGATCTCGTTGCGTCGCTTGGAGGAAACATGCACGTCTCCCAGGATGGCTACGAGTTGAAAGCTCTCCATGTGAGTGCTATGACCTCCTTATATATGGTGACATACTGACGATCTCATCAGGAGTTTCTCTCTCAGAATCTTGCCATGCCTCCAATAACCCCCATGTCCCCCACGGCCCATTTCCACGGCATGCCATCTTCACGCTCAGCATCTGTCACTCGTAAACCGACCTCGTTACCATCGACATATCCATACACCGATGCATTGAATCAGCCGCTCCCCACTCCCTCGGCATACTCAATGTACCCAGCAGAACACGATGACGAACCAATGTTCAGTCCTCGACCTGGCACGT